CTGACTTGCCCCTCCTTCCAGGCTCCAGAGGTCGCATGCATCTATGAGGCTGACATGGAAAATTTTTGAAACTTGCATTTACTGATATGGCATAATTAAAAATGAGAAAGACCAGCTACAAACTTCCATCCATAATCAGAATGTGAAAGTTATAAAATATGAATCAAGGAAAATCAGAAGTTGGGTTGGAGAATCAGGTGTACTCTGCAAGGAGTGACAGATTGAGGGGAAAATGCATTGCATTCATCATCAAAAAGAACATTTAAAGATGGATCCTGAAATACAACACTGTCAGTGATGGGATAATAAACGTGTACCTACAAGGAAAATCAATTAATGTGGACACTATTCAAATTTACCCACCAATAATTAATGCTGCAGAGGAAGAAATGAAAGGGTTTTTTTTTAACCAACATTTGTCTGAAACAGCTCAAAATGTCATCAAGATGCATTGATAGTTACTGATGATTGCAAACTAGTGATTGCAATGTCAAAGCTGAAAGCAAAGGAAAATACAGCTTTTATGATAGAATTTTGCGAGACCAAATACTTAATTGTTGGAAATAACTTCTTTCAATAACATGAATAACTACACATGTAGACCTTGCCGGGTGGAATTCACAAGAATCAAATCTACTACATCTGTGGAGAACAATGATGGAGAATTTCAATACCATCAATTAGAGCCAACTCAGTGGTCACTGAAGAACATACTATCAACTGCCCATCTGCAAGGTCAAGATTAAATTCAAAGGAGGACCCTAAGGAAGACCTTGAGTATATGTTACTTAAATTTAGAGACCATCTCAATAGTTAGTTTGGCAGATGGAGCACACTGAACTCACTGCTATATTAAAGATTAGATAAGTTGTGGGATGGTATCAAGGACATCATATATATAAAAAAAAAGTGAAAAAAAATCACAGTCCAGAAAAGAAAGGAAAAAAGACTAAAATGGATGTCAGAAGAGATAATGAAATTTGTGCCTGTATGAAGATAAATTTAAAAAAGAGAAATAATTATGTAAAAAAATTTACATTTTCAAAGGATGACTCAAGAAGACAAAGTCAAATATTATAAGGAAATGTGAAAAAACCTAGAGTTAAGAAAATCTAAAGCGAAAAATAGACTCAACAGTTCTCAAGCTAAAAGAGTTGAAAGGGGAGAAAATTCAAGTTCTGATTAGCAGCATCATGATGGATGGTGAAGAGATTGAGGTTTTTTTCCCCACAACTTTAGTTTGCTTGGCTCCACAGTCAACACTCTTGGCACCAGCAGCCAGGAAATTAAAAGGTGCATTGCCATGGGAAAGTCTGCTGTTAGGGTCCTCTCCAAAGTACTGAAGAGTAATGATGTCAGTCTGGAGATTAAGATGCACCTTTGCAGTCACTTGTTATGCATCAGAGAGTTGGACAATGACTAGGGATGATAGAAGGACAATTGATGCCTTTGAGCTGTGATGCTGGAGAAGAGTACTGAATATACCATGGACTATCAGGAGAACAAACAGGTTTGTTCTGGAGTGTATGAAGCCAGGCTGTTCCTTGGAGGCAAGGATTGTGAAACTTCATCTGACATACTTTGGACACATTGCAAGGAGAGACCGGTCCTTGGACAGGGATGTCATGCTTGAGAGGGTGGAGGGACAGTGCAGGAAAGGAAGACCCTTGATGAGATGGATTAATTCAGTGACTAGGGTAATGGGTGTAGGTGTGTCAGAGACAATAAGTACCACAGGGTAGAGCAGGGTTTAGGGCTGTTGTACATATGGTCGCTATGAGTCTCAGGTGACTCAACAGCACATAACAACAACAAAAACAACAACAACAATAGGCAAAAATTGAATGATGCAAGAAGTATCCAAAGGAAATGGACTTAATACAGAAGCATCAAAAAAAGATGGAAAGAATGCAGTCATTCTGCAAAAATTGGTCAACGCCAATAGTAAGTGCTGTATTATCAAAGAACTGATGGTACTAAAAGGAAGCATTCCAGGCTGCCCTTGGGCCCTGGCAAGGAGGGAACCCAAAACAATCAAACAAACAAGAAAATCAAGGCTGCAGGAATTGAGATGTTTCAAGAAGCAGATGCAATGCAGAAAGCATTCATTCATCTGTGTCAAGGAATTTGTAGAAGACCTTACCTGGCCACTGACAGGTATATGTGTCCAGCAAAATGTGAACATTATTGACCAACATCATTAATATCCCACACAAGTAAAGTTGTACCATAAATAATTTAAAAATAGTTGCAGCAAGGAAACTTTCAGAAATTCAAGACAGCTGTAGGTAAGGATATGGAATAAGGGATATATATCACTGTTGATGTCAAGTGGATTTTAACTCAGCAGCAAATACTAGAAAGTTGTTTCCTGGTATTTTACTGGCTTTGCAAAGGAATTTTACTATATGGCTCACAACAAATTATGGATAACAAAGTGAATAATGACAATTCTACAACATTTAATGGTACTCATGTGGACCTTGTCATAGATCAAGAGGCAGTTTTTGAAACAAAACAAAAGAATAATAATGCATGCATGGTTCAAAATAAAGTGTGTGTCAGGGTTGTATCTTTACCAATACTTAATCAGGCTGTATGCTGAGCAAATAATCCAAGAAGATGGATTATATAAAGAAGATAGAAATATGAGGATCAGAGGAACACTCATTAGCAACTTACCATATGCAGATGACACACTTAAAAAGAAAGAGGATTTAAAAGAGGTCTTGAAGTACTTACTAACATAGAACAAAGACTATGGCTTTTGGTAAGGTTTACATACATCTCAGCATAAATAACCTGTCAGGTGCATTTACTAAGATTCACAGCAAACACTCATGGAGGTAGCAGATACAAAATCAAGCCCATGCCTTGGGGAACTCTCCTGCAGAAGACCTCTCTACCCCTTAAAATGTTTAAAATGCAAGGACTAAAGTATCCAAGCCATGGTATTTTTTTTAAGCTCCTTATGTACATGAGAAAGTGTGACAGTGAGGAGCTGATGCCTTTGAAGTATGGTATTGGCAACGATTGATTATCCAATAGCCCACTGACTGCCAGAGTATGAGTAAATTTGTCTTGGAAAAAAATATATATAGAATATTCCTCAGAAGCAAAGATAGTGAGTCTTCACTTCGACTTTGGGCATGTTACCTTGTTGGGACCAGTTCCTGGAGGACATCTTGCATCTTGCATGGTAGAGAATCAGAAAAGAAGACTTTTATTGAGATGGACTACTGTGGCTCAAACCTGAAAACAATTATGAGGATGGCAAAGGACTGACCATTGTTTTATATAATATATAAATTATATATATATATATATTTGTTGTTATTGTTATGCCATGTTGAGTTGCCTGCGACTCATAGCAACCCTATGAATAATAACCTGAACCCTTCTCTATCCTGAGCTGATCTGTGTGTCTGACACACCTACCCTCATTACCTCAGTTACTGCAACAATCCATCTCATCTTGGGTCTCCCTCGCCTGCATTGTCCCTCCACCCTTCCAAGTATGATGCCCTTCTTCAAGGACTGTATGGGAGATCTTCAAAATCCATGATTGCAATGTGCAACTTGGTTTCACCTTCTCCAGGACAGACCTCTTTGTTCTCCTGGCAGTCCATAGTACCTTTAATACTCTTCTCCAGCACCACAACTCAAAGGTATCATTCTTCTATCTTCCTTAGTCATTGTCCAACTCTCTGATGCATAGCAAGTAAATGAGAAGACCATGACCTGGATCAGTTACACCTTAGTTTCTAGATTGACATCATTGCTCTTCTGCACTCTGGAGAGGTCCCTGATAGCAGATTTATGTAGTGCAATTCACCTTTTGATTTCCTGACTGCTGGTGCCAAGAGTATTGATTGTGGAACCAAGCAAGCTGAAATCGTTAAAAATCTCAATATCTCTCTTTTTTAAAATTATTTTTTATTTTTCTTTTTTATTTTTTTAATCTCTTTTCTATCTATCACGTTGCTGCCAATATATAATTTTTCCACGTATCTTTTTTTTTCTTAAATATAAATGTTTTATTTTATACTGGATTACTTATAAAATTTGTATACATTGTTTTTCACACCAGATCGTTCTCATTTTTAATTGCTTAAAAAAATTATAAATCTCTCTCTGTTGGTCTTTAATTGTCCTTGATTTAAATTTCTATCAAGAAATAGACACATAAAGCTATTAAAAATTAAGTTTCTAATTTTGTACCATTTAAAATGCAAATAAAAATGTGTTTTATGAAATTTTATTTCTTTTTTCTTTGCCAGTCCTTTGTCCCAAAAAGGGGAGTCCTGCTTGCATCAGATTCGTGAGAGGCCAGTTTTCGTTTGAGTTGTGCGTAGTTCTGTTGTGAGGAAACATGGAGTAAACTCCAATTCTTAAGACTCTAAGTACAACAGAACCAAACAGACCTGCTTCTGCGTCATCGCTCACAATGGCCGTGGGGCTTGAGCACGCTGGCACACCCACTGTGCCAGTCCAATTAGGTGAGGGTCTCCCTCGTTCTTGCTGTTTTCATTATATTACCCTTTCTTACTATCTCACACTTTGATCATTGCATTGTGTCTTTCTAACAGGTTTCTTTAAAAAAGGAGCCCCTCATTGATTTTTATCAGTTATTTTATAAATCAGTAGAACTGCTAAGATCATTTCTCCACTTGAAAAGACTAAAAGGAGAGAGTCATTTCTGCAATTTTTCATTCCCCCAAAATAAGTTTCAAGTTTCGAAAGATCAGCCTTGAGTTGCTATTAATCTTACTAATGTATGATGTTTAATTAAGAGTCAATCAGGACCAAGAGTAGAGGGGGACATACAGAATACTAGCTCCCTAGAACAACTCTCATTTACACTTCTTTCTCTGTCTCTCTCTCTCCCTCCCTTTCTCCCTCTCTCTTTTACACACACACACACACACACACACACACACACACACACACACACACACACCTCTCTACCTTCCAGGCCCTCCCTTCTCCCAGATACTCACACAGTCTCTGTACTTGGTGGAAGTTTGGGGATGTGGTAGACGTCCTTGCAGGTGAACCTGAGCTCATTCTCCCGGAGGCACTCACTGGGCAGGGATGGGTACTCATGTCCTCCCAGGCTCCTGGGCAGGGCGAGCAGCAGCACCAGCTGCAGCAGGGGCGTCTGCATCATTTTCCAGGGACCCCCAGGCTTCCTCCTCATCCTCGCCTACGGCCTCATTCTCAGTCCAGAGACGGGAACAGGAGGGGCAAAGCGAGGAAGGCTCTGTAGGGGGCTGTGACCTCACCAGAAAAGAAGAGGCTGGAGAGGGGCGAGAAGAGGCTTTTAAGTGCTCTGTTTCCCGAGGCAACTCTCCACCCATACAAGCTACTCACTTCACCCTCTTGCTTTGAGCCGCACAGCCCGCACTCACTCTGTTCCCTAACTCTTAACACTGGTCCGGGCTGGGGCCCTTTGCTTTCCAGCACTACCTACTACTTTCCAATCACCACCCCTCCTTGCCCCACGTGTCCATCCCTCCAATTCTCTCCAAAGCCTAACTCTGATTCCTTCACCCTTTATTTCTCACCAACCCCTAAGGCTCACCTTTTGCTTTCCGGGTATTAACACCTAAACGTGTTGCCAGCCCAGGACCACCAGGAGCCACGCTCTGTCCAAGGAAGTCTCCACAGGGCTGTGCTCAGAAGAGTACCGGAGTGCACAGTCCCAGGCCGACTGATGCCCTGCTGAATGTCCAGCCCCTTCTCTGAGAGTCACACAGAGCACGGGACAGCTCGGATCCAGCGGCAGTTCAGGTGCAATTCAAGGCTCCGCAACTTCAGCGCTGACCAGGACCACTGCGTGAGCCGCCAGACTTGAACGGCAGTCAACCCTTGGAGTCGCCTGGAGGCTTCAGGCTCACGCTGCAATCGCTGGATTACTTGGAGCCAGGCTAGGAAACGGACTCTGGGGCCGCCTGCAGGAGAGAGAGGGGAAGACGGTCCAGGTGCCATAGGTGGGATTCTTGAATCCAATTTTGAGAAGGGGGTTTGTAATTCTGTGAATTTCCTGTCCAGCAATTTTATCGAGCTGATTTCCCAGAAGATGAGAAGCAAAAGGAATACTGAAGTGGTATGACTCCATCTCACAGTAGCTTAAAAGATGATAAAAAAATGCAAGTCAAACTATATGTATTTTAGTGTTTATTGTTAGGGACTTTGGAATCTGCTCCAACTCCTGACCACACAACACAGAACGTAAGGAAGGAAGCATTGCCATTGCTGAGTTCTGTATCATTGACATGATTTAATGAGCCCATTGTTACGACCATAGTGAGAAGGACACTGATTTTTTTCCCCCCCCCCAGCGCTATATTGAACAATCTTCCTCATTTCAACTGACTTTCAATCTGGGTTCTACCACGACACTACTGTAGGTTGCTATGCATCTGTGGCTGGACAATGAGTGCACCTTAGTCTCTAGACTGACATCATTGCTTTTCAGCACTCGATGAGGTCCCTGACAGCAGATTTTTCCATTGCAATTCGTCTTTGGATTTCCTGACTGCTGGTGACAGGAGTGCTGATTGTGGAGCTGAACAAGCTGTAATTGTTAACAACCTCAATCTCTTCTCCATCTATCTTGGTGCTGCCAGTTGGGCCAGGGATGAGACTCTTTGTCTTCTTGATGTTGAGCTTCAATACATATTGAGGACTACAGTCCTTGACGTTCTGCAGCAAGCACTTCAGGTCCTCCTCAATTTCAACAAGCAAGGATGTGTTATCTGCATAATGCAGGTTGTTTATGAGTCTTCTTCCAAAACTGATGCCATATTCACAAAGCCTCATAAAGCCCAGCCTCCTGAATGATATCTGTTCTGCAGATTGAAAAGGTATGGTATCCCTGACACACTCCTTTCCTGATTTTGAAGCATGCAGTGTTTCTTGTTCTGCTCTGAAGACTATTTCCTGGTCTAACTTTTACATGAACACAGCAAGTATTCTGGAATTCCCATTCTCCTCAAGGTTAACCACCATTTGTTGTGACCTACACAGTCAAATGCCTTTGCATAGTCAATGAAACACAGATAGACATTTTTCTAGTACTATTTCCTTTCTGCCAAGATCCATCTGATGTTGGCAATAATGTCTCTAGTGCCACGACCTCTTCTAAACCCAGCTTGTATTTCTGGTAGTTCTCTGTTAATGTACAATTCCACTCATTTTTTAATAATCTTCAGCATCATTTTGCTTGTGTGTGGTATTAGTAATATTGTTTGCTAATTTCCACACTGTTGGGCCACTTTTTTTGGCACAACTTGGTGAGCACGTGCAGGACAGCATCTGCTTGTTGAAATATATAGATTGGTATTCCATCAATCCCTGGGGCATTTCCCCCCACCAGTCTTTTAGAGCAGCCTGCACTTCCTCTTTTATCACCATTGCCTCTTGGTCATATATTGTTTCTTCTGTGTCAACCAATTCTTTTTGATACAGTGACTCTGTACTATCATTTTTAATGCTTCCTGGATCATTCAATATTCTGCCAATAGCATCTTTAAGTATTGAAACTCAAGTCTTGAATTTGTTCTTTAGTTCTTTTAGTTCCAACCTTTTGATTTTCCGACTCCAGTGCCTTGAACATGTCATTATTATACTTTGTTTCCCCTAAGTGCCCTTTGAAATCTTCTATTCAGTTACTTTACTTCTTAATTTCTTCCCTTTGCTTTGGCTTCTCAGTGCTGTAGTGCAATATTCAGAGTTCCTTCTGACATCCATTTTGGACTTTTGTTCTTCCTCTGTCTTTGTAATGACCTTTTGCATCCTGTGTAGGTGATGTTCTTGGTATCTTCCCACAGCTAACCTGGTCTTCATTCATTAGTATTCAATGTCTCAAAACTGTTCTTGAGTTGGTTTTTAAATTCAGGTAGGATAGACTCAAGATCAAGTTTTGATTCCTGCGAATTGATTTGACCTCCTTTAGCTTTAATTTGAACCTGTGTATTAGTAGTTGATGGTCTGTTCCACAATCAGTACCTGGCCTAGTTATCACTGCTGATATTGAACTTCTCCAATGACTCCTTCCACAGATGGAATCAGTCTGATTCCTGTGCATGCCATCAGGGTAAAATGCAAGTGTATAGCCTGCATTTATGTTTATTAGAAAAGGTATTTTATTTTTTAAAAAGGTATTTTATATATAAGTTATTTAAGCAGGTAAAACCTAATAACATGCTGATAAATTACATTCTTTGAAAGAACACACGATAAATATCTGTTCGCTTCAGTGGACACTTACAATCACTGTCACAATTTGTTTTTCAAAATTTCTTTTGCAGCTTTTACAAATGCTTCCATTTTTGAAGAAATGAAAAGACTGAAATGAAGAGATACAGGATGGATTCAAACTCAACATGTTGTTGTTGTTAGGTGCCATCATGACACCTGTTACTCATAACAGTCCCTAAGTACAATAGCTCTGTACTCTGTCCTAGTCTGAGCCAATCTCACTGCCTCTGACACACCTGCCCTAACATAAGAAAAACAAAAATACAACTGGGATAATCGCAGTACCATGATTCAATGGAGAAAAGATTGCTGTTGTTAAAGGTTTGTAATCAATGCCTAAGGGGGCAGCAGTTAAGAAATAAAGTAACTTATGGAATTGAGATGATGAGGATGGCACAGGATAGAGCACGGTTCAAGTCGGCTGTTCACAGAGCCACTATAAGTCGTACTCACCTCGATGGCATCTCACAGTAACTGTTCCCAGAACATTCTTGAACAGTGCTCCTTGTGGCCTTTGAGTTGATCCTGACTCATGGATACCTCATGTGACAGTGTCATGTCATACAAGGTTTCCTTGTTTACAATATTGATGAAAGTAGATCACTAGATTTTATCTTATGGAGACTTTCAGCTAGTTGCCAACTGCTTAATATTTTTACCACAAATATTCTATTCTTTGAAGTTGTCAGATATCATAGAATCTGTTTCTACTCATAGTGGGACTTTGTATAACACAACACAACACAACAAGACACAACATTGCTTGGCACTGCACCATCCTTACAATCCTGGCTGTGCTGGGACCCACCATTGCTGTCCTTGTGTCAACCCTTCTCTTCCAGGGTCGTCCTCTTTTTCATTGACTCCCACTTTACCTGGTATGGTGTTCTTTTCCAAGGACTGGCCACTCCTGAAAACATGACCAAAAGTACACGTTCATCCTCACTTCAAAGGAGTCTTCTGGTTACATTTCTAACAAGATGGGTTTTTTTGTTTTCATAGTATCCCATGGGATATTCAACATTTTCTACCAATACCATGTACGAGGAGGAATGGGCATCAGGATTGATGGAAGAATCATCAACAACCTGCGTTATGCAGATGACACAACCCTGCTTGCTGAAACTGAGGAGGACCAGAAGTGCTTGCTGTAGAAAGTCAAGGACTGCAGCCTTCAATATGGATTGAGGCTCAACATCAAGAAAACAAAGATTCTCACCACTAGGCCAACTGGCAGCTTCAGTATGGATGGTGAAGAGACTGAGATAGATAACAGTTTTCATTTACTTGGTTCCACAGTCAGCACTCTTGGTATCAGCAGCCAGGAAATCAAGAGATGAATTGCATTGGGAAAGTCAGCTGTAAAGGACCTCTCAAGAGTAATGAAGAGCAATGACATTAGGCTGGAGACTAAGGTGCACTTGATCCAGACTATAGTCTTCACAATTGTATGCTATGCATCAGAGAGCTGGACAGTGACAGGGGTGGTAGAAAGAGAATTGATGCCCTTGAGCTGTGGTGCTGGAGAAGAATGTTGTATATACCATGAACTGCTAGAAGAAACATATTTGTCCTGGAGAGGGTGAAGCCAGGCTGCCCCTTAGAGTCAAGGATTCTGAAGCTTTGTCTGATACACTTTGGACATGTTGCAAGGAGGGACCAGTCCTTGGAGAGGGACATCATGTTTGGGAGGATGGAGGGGTGGCGAAGGAGAGCAAGACCTTTGATGAGATGGATCGATTCTGTGATTGGGGTAGTGTGAGTAGTTGTGTTGGAGACAGTGAGATTGGTACAGGATAGGGCAGAATTTAGGACTCTTGTACATAGGGTCACTATGACTCGCAGCGCCTCAATGGCACATAACAACAACAACCATAATTCAAAGGCATCAATTCTACTTCAGTC